AACGTATGACTAGGGTAATCTGCAGTGGTTCCATTCGCGTATTTCGGGTAAACTTGCAAACGCTGCAATCGTCTGTCCGAGTAGTACATCATATCTTCGAAAATTGCCAGTGCATGCGGGTGCTGCACGAATTTCGGCGATGATAGTACTTGTGTACGTCCTGCAAATAAGAATTCTCGAGGGATACGGTAGACTACGGTAGATGCACTAACCAGTTCCGTCGTAGTTCACAAAGTCGATGTAATCCAGCTTGGAATCGGCAAAATACACGCGATCAGTGGTCAAATCCAAAGCGATGGTGTTTGGCCAGTAAATCTTTGTACTGACGATAATCTGACGATCCGTACCGTCCATATTTGCCCTTTCGATATGGGGGTTCTGAGAGATTAAGTAATCTATAACCAGTTAAGAGAGGAACGCAGCTACCGTACCTGTCCCCAGTCGGTCCAGAACATCAGCCCCTTTCTCGGATCTACAGCGATACCACGGGGTTGGCTAACATTCTCATGCACCAGGAGAGCACGAGCAGCGGGGTTTTCAAGATTTGCTACCTTGAAAGAAAGAAAACTATGCTTTAAGGTCTATGTGGGTAGATGTGACCTCTCACCTCAATAGTGTTGAGACTCGAATCAACCCAGTACAGATTGCGGCCGACCCAGTCAAGAGCAATTCCTTCCGTGATATCAAGTCCCTCGCCAATGAAAGTGGTTACATTTGTACCATTTCTAGTAGCTGAGAAGATCTTCTTTTCACGAATGTCAGACCTAAAACGGGTTAATGGAGCATGATCCGGATATTGCCAAGACCTCAGGGCTCAACCAACACAAGATGGTTTCCCAAAAATGAAAAAACGAAGTTTCCTTGACTTTAGCAAAATTTTACGAGTCCCTTTGACCCTAACCCCTAAACGTAAAAAACCTTCAAAAAACGAAACTTCGACCAGAAAAACGTCACAATTTTTGTGTATTTGCGGCCATAAAAGCGATATCTTTATATATTTTATCCCCTTTGCTT